TGCGAGGAAAGCAGGCTTGCAAGGCAGCACAGAGCTCATTGCGAGGAAAGCAGGCTTGCAAGGCAGCACAGAGCTCATTGCCAGGCTCGGCCCCGGGCACCCTCGGTCGTGTGTTGTCCGCGCTCAGTGGGTTGTGTGGGTTATCAAAGGAGCTGTTTGGTCGCGTACATTTGCCTCATAAGTCTTTTAACCTACATATATCGTTGGGCAGAGGCTGAACAGAATAACGCTCAGGTCTCTTGGGTACCTGCCCACCTGCCTGAGGTGCTGCCCTTTGTGTGCAGCCTTTGTCACCGGGAATAGGGAGGCCTTTCCACCGCCTGGACAGTGACCGTGTGTGTAAAAAGGGCTGACAAACCTCGCTTCATTTTCCCATTTCTCTGCCCAAGCGAAGCGGGAAGACAGCTTAGAGCATGGTGAGCTATTAATGCTGACAGATATGAAAGTGTACTGTCTGCTGCTGTTGCAGTCTGTGTATGCTCAGTCAAGAAGTGAAGGKGTTTCCTGCTAATGTAGGGAATTGAAAATCAGAATGAAGATAGATGTTGAATTTTATATTCCCCCCCGCTTCTGAAAGGGGTATTTTGACACCTATATTTTAGTAGASCAGTATAGTCAATTTTGAAAGATTGCATCTCAACTTGTCAGGTGTCTGTCCCTTGTACAGGTGCTTGTGTGACTGGTACACTGACTCAGAGTTTGGCTTTGGATGTAATTTAAATGCAGTCGTCTTGAACTAACTATTGAGCAAAATTTAGGAATCTGTTACAGGAACRAACATTCAGAATTTTAGTTAAAATTTCACAGCTTTGTGATTAGGGGAGAAGCCAAATGAATATGGATTGTTGTGGGTATTCTTCAGCCTCCAAGAGGTGTCTTGWAATTTGCTGTCTTGAGTGCAATATGTTTTACATCTCACAATGGCAATAACTGATGTCTTCACTCAAACTTGGGTTTGTAAAAGAACCTTGAGCAACAATCTTGGCATAGGCTGCCTTTGTGCATATGAAATTCAAAGATATGCAGGATTGATGCAGCTGCAGGGCACTTTCTCTGAAAGAGCAGTAGATCAGGAGTTCATGAGACACATCTATTTTATCTCACTGACCTCTGAGGTATAGAGGAAGAACTGAGAAAACCTTTTATGTCCATCCTTACYCTTCAAAATGACCCTGTGTTAAGTGTGCTGAGTCAAAAAGCATGCACAAGCATACTTTCTTAATTTTGCTGTACTGGATGTTATACCTTCTCAGCAGCTTTCCCAGAWGAATTATTTAGGCTTGAGTTAAAGTCTCAAGGACAGAGAGTTCATGCAGCTTCTGTTCTGACATTTCAAGTATTTGAATGAAGTCTTGGAGTTAAAAGTTAAATCTTTTGGAGTGGGATGGGAAACTTTTAATAGTGGTAGGGTAGATGTCCGAGGCCTTTCTGTGTCATTGTGAGCTTGGGTCCTGAAAGGTAAGAGGCCCATGAATGTGCTGTGGAAGGTCACTTTTGTTTTCCAGTCACTTGCATGATGTAACAAGTTGCATATTAGAAGTAGGAATCAAGGGGGTTTTGGTTGTTTTTTGGTTTTTTTTTTGAAGCTGTTCATCATGCTTGATCATTTAGATTGGAAGTTTTAAAATGTTAAGAGATCTGGTATTAGTGCTGTTTTCTCTGACTGTCATAATAACTTCTGCTGTATGACAAATATTCCACTAATAGCAWTCTTCAGGATATAACATAGAACTAGATTCAATTGCTGTTTGAAGTGTTTAATGAGAACTAAGGACTTACTGTTAGACCATGTCTTTCTTGTGTTTAACAGTACCAAAAAAACACATACCTTGGTAAGGTGTTTTGGAAATTGCCAGAATAGTAGSAAGGCTTATTTTATTTGTTCTGCTTGTTTTCTGGGCAAGATGATGCTGTGATGGTTCTGGTTTGGGACAGGCAGAGCAGGCAAAAGCTTGTAAGCAARGTCTGCTTGRGGAAGAAGCAGAGTAATGAGGTATKTGCAAACCACAAGGCTGTAGCTGACATTTTTCACTGTCAGGTGCCATGTGTGAGGTGTTGACTCACCTAGAAGCACATCCCACAGATCAAGGCTCGCTCTGCACCAGTAGTTAACAGTAAAACTCTTGGAGTCWCAGAGGTTTCTCTTGCTGTTGGGGAGGATGGGAAAAAGACTCGAGTTGACATGGTTATGGCCTCRTTATCTGAGGCTGGGTTTAACCAGACTCCTGAAGTTTTTGGTAGTTTTGCAGTTATTACATACTTAGCAGCTGCTGTGCATGTAACAAACACAAACTCTTCTTTACTTACAGAATCGGGCCACTTTCAGATTTGATCCTGCAGATGAAGACAAAAGAAAGGTGAGTAAAATAGGCTATTGAGCTGCATACCTCMATGCAGGAGTATAACACAGTAAAAGCAGTCTCTTGGCTGCCATTGTGAAATGGTGAAAACACTGAGTATAAAGTTATATTTTAATTTTTGCTTCTTCAGTGTGAGAGACATGACAAYTACACATTCCCTTTTTTTAAAAAAGAGAGAAGCAAACTCGCCTAGCAAAGCCCCCAGCCTTGAATGGRAGTAGTTACAGAAAAGCCCATAAATAATTTTGCTGGGCACAGATTTGAGATGAGGTGGAGTAAGGGCAAAGATACTCTTCTGTATCTACTGAGATAAAATTTTGCAATAGATTTTTCCATCTTCTATCTTCTCAGCAGGCAGCAATATGACAGATGTATTTCTTGTCTCTGTGAGATGCTTACAGAATACTAGAGATTAAGATGAAAGGATAAGAACAGAAGAAAGCTGTTAAGCTGTAAGGAAGACAGGGTTACAGAAGGCTGTTATTCCAAAGGTKGCTGTAATAGTGAGATGTGGTACATGCATGTCAGGTGTCAAAGAGGGGAAATGTGTATTGAGCTGTACAAGTGTGGCAGGGCTTTACACATCCCTTGGGATGCCTCCACAGCCTCCCATTTAAAGCTTGGACATGGAACTTTTTATTTTTTCCTGTTGTTATTTTTAGGGTGCAATATGTAATAACAAGCCCCTTCCTTTCTGTTGGGTATATTGGGGATGATTTAYGTATTTATTCAGAAAATGGTCATTAGCGAATGAGGCTGTATGTTTCTGCTATTTCTGGAATAAACTCAAAGCTTGAAATCAGAATTGCAAGGTTCCTGCAAACATAGTTTGTCTGAAATTGGGAGCACATAGTTTCATTCCATGATTTTATGCAAAAGCTAAATATTTTAAGGTATTACGTTTTTTTCTGGTACAAGTGGGTGGGATGATAAGTCTCTCAGTCCTTTGCATTTGCAAACCCATCAGTTTTGTGTACTGTAATCTTCAGTTAAAATTCTTTATTCCACAGAGGMCTCGAAGGCCTCTTAGCTTTGCTTTATCCATGGCTTTACTCAAAGCTGACACTGTGATGTGGGGATGGACTGTGTGTGTCCTTTCTGATCTCTAGAACTCAGCTGGCACCTTGATGTGGTGTTCTTGCCTCTCTTCSCTCACCATCCCTTTTTAATCTGTCAATGAGCAAATGTCTAGTGTGAAAATTTGATTGCCAGCTATAGAATATAAGAAAGGAAAAAAGCAGAAGCCAAATTGGCAAAAGCCAAATGAAAACAATGAGTTTGGTGCATGTGAGGTATACAGTATAAGGATTTTTTTTCTGTGGGTAGTTTGGTTTGGGTTTTTTTTGGGGTGAGTTTGGTTTTTTTTTTTTTTTAACAGCTGTTCAACTACATACACTCTATATCCTTGCTATCTGCAAAGCATTGAGCATTCTCCTTTCATCCTTCAGTTAAGGTAAAAAATAAAAATGCTTTAAATTGAAACTAAAGTAGGACTTTATGGTTTTGTCACTGGTTTCCAGTGCTGTTGAAGACTTTGCCTTATAACCTGATGAATGCAGGACATGCTTTTTACCAGTCCCTTGCTGCATATTGGCTTTTTTCATTGCCTAGGAAAAAATTTGCTTGTACTTGTGTACTCCAGCAAGCCTCAGACTTTGTTGTAAGTCATTTATATTTATGCAAGAGTGCAGTTAAAAGATCAACAATGCTTGTTCTTTCTGCATCACCTAAAGCTTCAGCCAGGGCTTTAGAATTACAGCAAGGTTGTGTCAGTAGTGGGATTGTGTTGTAATGTAGGKGCAGCTATGCTTTAGGCTTTTGTAGTAGGATACTGTTAGGAAGGGGATAACCATGTGTGCCAATGACATGCTGAAAATACAAAAGATAGAAAAGGCARAACTATGGCTTGACTAGAATCTGGGTAAATTTAACAGAATAGATTGTTCTGCAGTGATAAGGCTATCAAAACATGATGCTTTAGGCTGTAAACTGAGCTATAAACTAACTAAATCAGCAGTGAGTTTGTGATACTGAATTCCAGGAAGAAAGTAGGTTGTGTCCTCTAGAAGGCAGGAAGAGAGGTAATGCTATCAAGCTTGTCTATCTGGACATAGCCACAGGACTGGAATACATCACAGGGTGATAAAAAGCACAAGATTGTAACATGAACTGTCCTTGTACTTGTCCTGGTTGTTTGTGTAATGATGTATCTTTCTGCACTGCTGGCTGTTATGGATATAAATCTGTGTGGTACTCCAAGATCCACTCACATCAAGTCAGTGCCAGTCCTTTTTTAACTTATTATGAACAAATAAAAAATAGGAATTTGTGGAAGCCTGTTTTTAGTTTCTATGTGTAAACAGTATAGAAAGTGCCAGCCAGAAGTAAATATGTTCTGAAATAGCAGCTGAAATTAAGGCAGTGGGTTTTTTTTCTGAGGAACTTAATGAACTCTTAGAAATATAAAATACTTGTCTCAAGCAGTCAAGAAGTTGTTGACAGTGTTTTGCTGGGAAAAGTTGAGTTTTCAGACCTGCAGSACTTCACAGCACCGTGGCATGGTTGAGACAAACAGTAGATTCTTTARGTCTGTTCTGGAATCCACTCCAGAAAATTAGTATATATTAACTTAATCAGGCAATCACCTTGGAGAGAGGTGTCAGGTATAGTGTCTCCCTCTCTGTGGCACAGCAGGTGCTTCAGCTCAAGCTCACATATTCTAATACAAAAAGGAAAAGGGTTTTTGGACCACTTTATCATTATTTAATAGCTTTGSTCTCCATTATTTATTCTTACTGCTTCACAAACTACACGTTTGTGCTGTTTACAGACTTAAAATGGTAAGAAAATTACAGTATCCTTTGAGCCCTGGAAATGTCTGTCAGCACTGATTGCCTGGGTGGTCAGAGCATTCCACAGCTGGAAGTTGCTACAGCACCATTTGCTGTGATATAACARACAAATCTGTCTGAGATAGCAAGTAAGGCTTTTAAAATTGGATGGAGACACTGAATTAGTGAGRGGAAGGGRGTAAAAGGGAAACAGTAGACAAATGTARGAATATGTCTAACAAGCCATATTGTTACCTGAAATGGTTGACCTCTTCCCTCTTCTGTCAGCTTCAACTTTTGTAGTATTTGTAATAACATCTGCTTTCTGCTGTATTAGGTCCACCCTACTGTGTTGGGTCTCTAATAGAGATCTTTAGAATGAGACCACTTTTCTTGAATTATTGTTCAGGTTCAATTTGAACATGATGGATCTAAAATTCAATGGGGAGAAAATCACAAAAAACTATCTTTTCCCCTTGCATTGCTGAGTGTTTTTGAGGTGTTGAAGTAGCTGATGGTAAATCATATCAAATGTATTKTGGGCTTTTCTCTACCCATTAAATTCATGATGTGGGGAGATTCTGTCAGTCTGTGGACAGTAYCATATTTCAGCTCTGGAAGGATGGAAGGAGTGAAGTATGTTTATGGAGCAAGATGCTGTCGCACTCTAAATCTTAGAAGAACCTCATTCTTAGTGCTGTTGATGCTTCAGGGAGGTCTGAAGGTTCCTGCAGCCACCAAGGCACAGTTTTTCTTTCCCTAGTAAATTTGTGGCAAGCTTTTAAAGCCTTTTAGCGGGTGTCCTGTAAAAACATAAAGCTCAAGTTCTCCTGTGGACACACTGTGTGGTGTCTTAGTTGTTATAGGTCTGACTTCACCAAATCCCTCAAAGGTGTGCGAGTCTGTAAGAGGAAAAAGGCACTAAGTATATTTATTAATACTAACATTTGTTCTAATTTCACTCTGGTTCTGCCCATTCCCATGCAGCATTTTTCAGTTTTTATTGAAACCTCTTAATGTTTATGACAAGCCAGTGAAACACCCTTCTTTCACCACAGGATTACAGAGGGTAAAAGGGTTCTCCCTCTCCCTTCCAGTGAGGTGAGCAAGGAGGGCTGCTGTGAGTGCAACTACACAGGATTTCACCTTTCTRTGAAGGTGTTTATTGCACCAGTTGTGGCAACAGGAATTGCTTAGTGTGCTCCTCACCTCACCTGCAGAGCTGTCATGCTCTCACATGTTTATACATTCAGCTTGGAGCTGTGCCATGTCAGAGCTGGCAGGCTCCTGCCCAACAGCCAACCTCCCACAGTTATTRGAGGCTGAGCAGTGAAGTGCAGAAGTGAAGCAGGCTGAACCCTGGAGGAATGCAAGAATACACCTCCCTTCCCTACCCACATMTGTCCACAAAGACAAAAATTTGCCATGGCCTTCTCAGGGGAGGTTTTCTGATTGTCCTGATATTCAGCACACTTGATGATCCRTATTATGTAAATGTTGTCTTGGCATCCAGAGAAAATGGAAGTTTTAGCTAACGTTTCAAATATTCTTGGGCTTACTTTCTCACTGGAAAGCTTAGCCTTGGATGCTCAGTTCTGAAATCTAAAACGCAGAAACTAAAGAGTTTAGTTCCCTTTCCCTTTCCCTTTCCTTTCCTTCCCATCCTCTCCCCTCCCACCAGCCTAATTATCCTGTGAACAGAGGTGGTGGAAGATAATGGAAGTAAAAAAATTACACCTTTTGGCCCAGAGCAGCACAGCAGGTCTGTTACTGAGCAAGGGAGAAAACACAGGTCTCTTGTGTCTCATGGGGGGTCTTTTTCTACTGGGCTGTGTTGCTTCTTAGCCTTAAGACTTCATGCTGTATAGATAAATGATCAAAATGAGTTAACAGTTTTATTTGTCAAAATAAGATGGCAAATGGGTTTTACTGGCCTTCCTTGTTTTAGCACAAAGTTTAACACTACAGCATAGAYAGGAATGGTGTTTTTTGCTCTATTAATCTTGCTATTAGCACAAAAAGTGAGAAATCTTGAATTTCAGGGAAATGAATGGATTTTACAATAAAAAAAAAGTTTGAATTAGAAACTTGAGTTTGTGAAAAAGTATACGAAACACACTTCTTGTGTAGCATGACTGGTGAAAGTAAAAATGTTAGCTGGGTGTTGAAAGGATGGAAYCCCAAACAAAGGAAATGTTACAGTCTTGTGGTGACTTTAAGGGTAGCAATAAAGCCCCCAAAACTAGAACAATCRTTGTACATGTTGTGGAAGGGAGAGGTACCTTCCTGTCTGAATTTTCACTTTCATTTCCAGCCAAATAAATGAAATCTGTGCCCCTTGGTTTATGCCATGCTAATGGCTTGCAGRGTGGTGGAAAGAGCACTGACTAAAGAAAATGAAAAGCATAATAATCTTTTTGTGGTCACATYTCTTCCTGTTTCTCTTCTCTCTGTGCATCATTTCCCTTGTGCCATCAAGGCCTAAACAGAAAATGTGAAAATGTACTGTATGGCATTTGGTTTTAGATGTCTCCAAGGCAATTTCCTAATAGGGTGAATCTTCAGAACTTTCCATGGATAGCTCTGCAATTAWAATCACATACTCTGGCTTTTCCTGAGCTGCTGTTGGCACTTGGGATCAGCCAGCAGTGGTTTGCTGTCACAGATATCCTAACTGATTTTTTATTCCTCTAAAATCACTCTTGATGACTCACTGGGTCTGACTCCAGAGAACTTTGTCAGCAGTTAAGTTGTAAGCAGGTTGCTAAATCTCAAAAAAAAAAAAAAGTTCTATTTAATATCCATCTTTAATGCAACTATTCAGAGTTAAGACTCTGCTGCATGTCACTGAGATTTGAAGTCAAGAGATGATTTTATATTTTTTTAATTACATTGCATGTATGGAGGGAAGGTTAGACTTCATGTGTCACAGCAAGTCAGCAGGAATTTGGTGCCCTTTGGGATCCTTCCTGCAGTGCTTTTGACATTTTACAGTGACAGTTCCTTAGCAGTAGGTGAGTAAAAAAGAATTTATGGGAAAAATAATTTAAAAATCAGTCAGAATTTGAGAGGCTTGGTCTCTTTGTAATCAAATGAGTGTTCAAAACTTGTATAAATTGTTACAGACCACCTTGTAACAGCTAGGRAACTTCCTAGCAAGAAAGACAATAACTGCTAAGTCTAACAGACAAGTGCTTAAACACAGAATGAACTGGCATTTTTTTTGAGGCTCTGTGAACCATCCATTCAGTTCTGTGTTATTCCTCAAAACCAAACAGACTCCACACTTCAGCTTGCAAAGCACAGTTAATTGTGTGGAAAACTCTTAGCAACAGAAAGTGAACTCTTCTAAGAAGTTGAGCTGTGAGTAGGTAATTTGAATCTAAACTGGTAATTTTTTGTTTCCTAGGCATTTTTGAAAACACTTCAAAGATGCCACATTCAGAAACATTTAGTGCAGGTCTAGCMTACCACACTGAAGTCAGGGAATTGTGCAGATTCGTGTGAGCAGCATTAGGTTAATATTGAAGAAATCAGAGAATGCTGTACTTGAGTATCTTCTTCCAGCTCCTGTAAGTATTTATAAGCCTATACAGGGAGTCAGATGTGGGTTTATAGTGTTGTAGTGTCTCTAATATTCTGATGAAGATTTCTCRTGCTGCCTATGTGATAAAAGGTGGAGATCATTCCTTGTTTTCAAAATCTTACTGGATTAGTCTAGTCAGGGCTGTGGAGATTCATTCAAGGTCTTGGTTGTCTGGGTGGTGCTTTTGGGTGGGCTTAACCCCAGGACAAGCATATTAGAAATCATATTGTGTGTTCCTACTGTCTGACTTTGTTTACAAATTTTCTTTTAACATTGTTGAAGTTAAAACAAGTTGAAGACTTGTGTTGTTTTCTCTATTGTTCTTCTGGACAGTCTGTTCTAGATTTGCTTTAGACTTAATGTTCATTCTTGGTTTTGTTGATTTCCTTATTTTGGCTCTGACTGTAAGTCATCACAGTAATAAAATAGGCTTAGATGTCCCAAGTGGAGTCTTTGTTTTGAACTTTGGTCAGGGTCATGTGCTTTCCACCTTTTCATTGTGGTTGTGATGGTGAAAAGTGGAATTCCAGAGACCACTCCCCAAKAACTATTTGATAGTTTACTAATATTCCTACGCTTTTTGTAATCACTTTCTTTACTAACACTGCCTGAAATCGCAGCATGAATTTTGGGTCCTAAGCAGACTTCTCCACCAGGGCTATTCAACTCAGTTGCTGCTCTGGCTTCTTTGGTAATTTATTCATTTTGATGGTCAAGACACCAAGCTGGGGAGCTGAGAAGCATGGAGGAAGTGTGTCCTAGGAGGTACAGTGCAGTTTGTATTGTTTTGGGAACTTCTTTGTAACTCTATTTCTGACTCTGGTACCCAGGAGTATGGTGTTGTCTTGACCTTAGGCATTAAAACCTGATGGAATCCTCTCACATCAAGCAATCTCTTCTGGCCTGTCTTTTCTCCCCTTTGATTGATTGATTGTTTATTTCTGTCTTATAAAAGGTAATACTTCTCTAATTCAGATGTTACAGTTCTTAACTGCAGATTATTGGGGTGTTGTATTCTCTCATGCTGCATTTATATGATTAATGTTTACCCCTGCAGTCCTGTTGGTATAAAGAATCCATGAACTGTTTGGACATCAGGAACAATCTGTGTTGATAAAGCAGCAGTTTTGCTGCCTTTTGTAACAGTTCATATTTTGAAGAGCTAATATGGAATACCTAGTTTCTCAAGTCAGATAAAAACTCAGAAGTWATGTGGAAGTTTAACAAAGTAGTTTCTTATTGCCACCAATACTTTGACACTAAAACTGTTCCCTTTTTCTTTGTTGTGTTTGCCTAGAAACTGTGTGAGGGAATTCTAAACATCCTTGAAAAAGACACAAAAACTTCATGTCAAGTTGCCTGCCTGGAGGCCCTCCGAATTCTCTCCAGGGACAAGAAGGTTTTAGTGCCTGTAACCACMAAGAGGAACATGCAGATCCTTATGAAGCTAGCAAAGCTGGACACTGTGGAAGAYCCTTTGGAGACAGAATCTGAATTTCCTGTGATAGTCGAAGCCTTAAAATGCCTCTGTAACATAATTTTTAATAGTTCAGTTGCACAGAAGCTCAGTTTGGAACTGAATCTTGCAGCCATGCTTTGCAATCTTCTGCAGAAATGTCAGGAGCGGCAGCTGGTTGGTGACATTAAATGCTTTGATTTGCGTCTCCTGTTCCTCCTGTCCCTTCTGCACACAGATATCAGATCACAGCTCCGTCAGGAACTGCAAGGGGTGCAAGTTTTGACTCAGGCTTTGGAGAGCTCCCTGAGTGTAAGATGGACAGAGGAATATAAAGCAGCAGAAGATCGTGACAGGCCTCCTCTGTCTTTGCAAGAGACAGACTGTGCCATTGAGGCACTAAAGGCTCTCTTTAATGTAACACTTGACAGTTGGAATGTCCACAGCAAGGTAAGACTTAGCTGAAGTGAATTTTTWAGTTGGTTTTGTTTAGCCTGCAAGAACCAGCAGGTTGATACACAAGAGGCAGTTGTTGTTCCTGTTAATATTTGGAAAAAAAGTCTTACCCATACRTTTTCTGTGTAATCAAAGAATAGCTTGGCTTGCATAATGCAGTGTTTTTGAGTATAAAAATGCAAAAAATACTATTTCATAATAGTCTTCGATTTCTGAAGAGAAATAGATGTTGTTCACTAATAATTAACTGGCTAGGAAAAATTTCTTAATCTAAGTGTGTCAGATGGCTGTATCTCTGGAGGTTGTGGACTATAACAATAAGGTAATAGAGCTGAGAGCACTCCCTAGTTTTTACCTGTTTTACAATAAGTACATCAACTCACATTTTTAACGAATAACTCTGACAAAAAGTGGTACTGTTTTTAATATCTTTGTCCTATCCTCCCAACACCAGCTTTGGTCTTCAACATGATCTTTTAAGATGAGATCATATACCAGAAGGAAATACATTTTCATTGTTATGCCTTATAAATATGGTTTATCTTGGTCTGCTTTCATTATGACATCCGATATTTCTTTTTCCTKAGATAACTATGCTTCCTATGCATTGCATCCTTAAATTTATAAACAGAAATTACAAGGATACTTTTGCTGAGTAGGCTGAGTCTGTGCTACAGTAGGGGAATTACACAGGAAATCTTTCTTTTTAGTCCATATTGTCTTTAGAGCAGTGTTTACTTCCATTGGACATTGTAAATATGCAGTGTTATAAAGCTGATCAAAATTTTGCAGTGGTTAAAACTTGTAAATAATTCTTCTCTAGTGTATTGGACTAAACAGCAAATAAGGCAATAACTATGACTTTAAGGAATGTAAAACTTGAGAAAAGTCTGAATTTTATACTTYGCTTTAATGTCTGAAGGATATGCTGAATAAGAAACCATGAAATTTAAGATTAAGTGACGGAAGGATCAGTGAAGCTAATACTGAGAGTTTCAGTGAAATATAAAGAAATTGGGGTTTCTTCTATTTTTATTCCTGACTTAGACACTTATTAAAAGTATCTTTAACTTTGTCAAAGACATTTGTGTAGACAAATGATTGTTTTGGAGGTAAAAAAGCATGTARCACAGCTATATGGAAAGTTGGAAAAAGAAACTGTATTACATATTCACCTTTTGAGAGGTAAGCTGTTGTCATCTGAAAGATTGTTTTACTCCTAAAAAGTATAAAATCTGGAGAGACATAAAGCCCAGCTGACTGCAGGAAGGCAGGCAGGAGATGGCACACAGTTGTGGAGTTATCTGCTGAGGTTTTGTGTGGCTGCTCTCTGTGGGATGAGGGAGACTTTGTTCTAGAAATCTTTTCCTCCTTGAAAAGCCAAAGCATGCATGCAACTTTTTTTTTTCTTTTTTTAATGAGAGTTTAAGACATCCGAGGGCAGAAGAAGCTTATTTTGTGTTTTGAGATAGAACTAAATAAACTCTTTAGTAGAAATTCCTGAAAGCAGAGAACCTTTAAATTCCAGAACTTTTTAGTGCCTGTTAGCTGTTAGCCAGATATATTAGGTGACATTCTGCATAGTGAATATTCCAGTGGCAATTTTAATGGTCTGTAAGAGTGAAAGGTTTGTTAATAAAGTGGGCTGAAGATGCAGAATTTGAAGAGATTCCAAACAGCATAACACATGGAAAGTTAAAGGAGAGCAGACAGATTAGGCATGTGGGTAGAAAGCTAAAGGAGCTMCATCCCAATGTGGAGAGTACCATTTGAAACCCCAGTTTTTAATGAGTGGAGATGGTTTCACAGTAGCAAAGCCAGACAAGAGCTGCAGGTGGGGTACASTTGGCAGATTTGGATGCTACAAAAGATGCATTGGGTGCTTTGTGCCAGGTCAAACACTCCAGAACATATAATGGGTGCCAAGAGTTGTTGAAAAAGGGTGAGGACAATGATACACMGTCAAATGATTGCAGTTACTGTGTACTTTTGTGTGGCTGCTGTCTGGTGGGACACTGGAAGGGGGATTGCTTGGAGAGAGCAAAAGTAGGGCAAATAAGTTATAACTGCTGTGAAGTTATTAATGGTATGGAGGAAARGTGTCAAGGGAGCAGAAACAAGAGAATTTGAGACAGACTGGGTGGAGGAATGGAACCTGGCAGCAAAAGGCCTAAATGAGGAGAAGAAATGAAAATGAAAGAAATGAAATGAAGAACTTACATAATCTGAATGGATGAAGTGGTGGCTGGTGTAAATCCAAGAAGGAGGATGGTGATACATTAGGAATAGTGGTGTGGAATTGAGCAAACACTTGTAACTGTATTTTGTAGTAGTGAAGGCTGATTTAACTGGAAAAACCTTCCCAGTGACTTTYAGAAGGGCTGGTTCAAAGTCAGCTTGTGAGAATTATGTAGCATTAAGCATTCAGTGAACACTAAGGTACAGTCCTTTTATTGATAGGGATGGATGTTATGATCTAATAGGTATTTTCCATCTTTAATTTTTATTATTCTAGTGACCTGAAACCCTCACTTGCAATCTTCAAAATGAAAAAATATCTTCATCATTTATATTTATATAGAATGAATCTCATCAATTTCGTTACATGGCTGCCATCCTTCGACACTGCTTATTAACCACGGGCCCTACTGAAGAAAAAACTGAAGAGTTGCACAGGTTGGTAGAACTGCAGAACCAATCTATGTTAAAAGGTTTTTGTTTGGTTGGTTTTCCTAAATAGAAATTGCCTGAAATCTAAAGTGGAAATCCGAGAAACAACGAAAGCTATTAATTTTGAGTTAATGTTTTTAATCTTTTTTGATGGAAGCTGTTTTCTTCAAATATCTTGTGCTATTGCAGAAGGATGTAAGTTATGCAGGTCCTTTTGGATTTAGCTTTTGCAAACACTTGCAGATGAGATCCGGGAAGGGCTGTGCATATAGAAGTAGACAGCTGTGAAGAGGATGTAGTGTTGGTGTGATTTCTGTCCTTGCTTTTTTTCAGTCACAAGGGTTCTTTTTTGTAGCAAAGCTGCCCACGTAGACCTTATGGACAAATCAAAGCAAAGGTTTTCCATAATTCTGAGAGGAGGAAACAGAATAGAAATGAGGATGCATGGACTGCCTTGTGTCACTTCAGTTGTTCCCCCATCTCCAGCAGACTCAGTGTAGCACTGCATCAGTCTTTCTGTTATGCTGAGGAAACAACTTTGTCCCTCAGTTAGCAAACTGTAGCTGGTTAAGTTAGCTGAAGAGTAAAGAATGCAAGTATAGCATTTTTATATGTGGTGTTTGATCTTGATTTACGTGCCACAAGAGCACCGTGCTGGTTTTCATTGTTGTGGTTCAAATMTTTCAGCCTTTTTGCAGAGCCCGTCTTAGAAATCTAAAAGGATGTAATAAAAGCTAAAAAACTGAATGCACTTTTCCACGAAGTCTGTCCCATCACAAGGCAACTCTGGAATAGAAAAGCTACACTCAGAAATAATGTCCTGCAAATCCTCAGAGGGATTGGGGCCTGCATCACAGGGCCTCACTTCAGTCTGCTGATGTATTTGGACAAGCAAAACTTTAATTCCTGATAGASCTTCACTAAATGAGTAAACTGTTGCTAGCAGTCTATAGCCAAAAARGAGGGGCTCTGTCATCATTTGGGCTGTCCAACGTGCTGGACCCTGACCACACAATCTTTATTGTGAGAGCAGAGCACAACTTCCAGCTCTGCTTTCCACTTGAAGCCTWTCAGTAAGGCAATTACAAAAACTGTGTTTAAAATAAAATAAACTACAGTGTTGAATGCAGAATAAACTTTATGAAGCATCAGGGAGATACWTTTATATTTCTTAGGATTGCTGATCACTTGCACTTCCCTAAGTTTGTTAATCTGCAGAACTTAAGATGCTTCAGTGAAAGGTTTGGACAGCCTGGTAAAGCACATCATTTGAATGCCTGTGCTCTGAATGTGTAAATTGAAGATTTATTTTAGGTGAACACTGAGTGTTGGATACATGCCCTGAGCATGATGTACTGATTGTCAGTGTGACTACTTCTAATWAAAAAGCAGGAGTTACCCATAAAAATATCTTAACTACTTTCATACCCAGTATTGTCATTGTGGTTCTGTTGTGTCATTACTTAATGTTTGATTATGAACAGCTTAAAGTACCCCATATTAGAGTGAGTGTCATTTTTGCCCACTAACAAGGTTTTAATCAAGGCATTCACTGTCTCTAAATAGGCTTTTGCTTSTGAATTTGCATATCAGGAGGGGGCCGGGAGCATGAGTGGGTGGATGTCATGTCCCAGTGATTAATGATCTCTAGGAAGCCCAAAAGGGGAGAGTAATATAGGCAGTATTTCTACCCCCTGGAGTAGGAATGCAAACACTATTGTGCATATCTGTGCAYAGTCACTGACTTCCTGGTAGCTGGAGAATTTCATACACTCCTCTGCCACAAATAAAACTGTCAGTGGAGTGACAAAGATCAGAAAGCCGGGCTTCATTTATTGAAAAGAATAGCTCAGACACAGTGATCCAGAAAATTAATTTTGTAGGTGTTTGGGAACTTGGTTGTTTAATAAGAAACYGGTAAAAAGAACTTTTGATGGAAGGCCTGAAGCCACCAAACATTTGTTGAATTTCAGTCTGGTTTGTTTCTGACTGTTCCTGAATTATTGGAGAGGARTAACTTCCATGATATAAAAGACTTATCTTGAACAGGAATTAGAAACGAAACAAAGAGAGCAAGCATTCCCAAAAATAATAGTTGTCTGAATTTCAATTGCTAAAAGAGCAAAAGGGAGATGGCACAGGGTGGAACAGCCACCCAGCCTGATCAAAACCAGAACCAACACATTTGTTAGAAATCCTGCTATGGTCTGATTGTCATGATTTGCTTTCTCTTTTATTAATTCTTTGTTAGAATTGTATTAATAACTTAGAAAAAGAGGTCATCTTTTAAGTAGATGTTATTAACTGTCTTAAATGAAGTTGTTTGAAAAGTTTTCTTCATTTTGGAACACTTCACCAGTACTTGAAAGCTCAGTACTCACTGCTTCACTGGTGGCTTTGAGGTCTGGATGGGTAAACCTGAATAGTTTTGTACTATTTCTAAACATATCCATTTGTAAGTTTGGTTGGACATCAGCAAGTAAATAATGACAGAATTGTMATTTTTGCAGCATCTGCATAATTCCTCCCAGTATTCAGAAAAAGCACAAGTCTGTACAATGAGAACAGGGTAGATAGCAAACTCAAGGGRTGTGTACCCCACAAGAGACCCTTGCAAAGTAAGTCCCACCTTACTCCATTTAGAGGAGGGAGGACCCTGTGGTTAATTTAAATTACCTCATGGCTCCTCTTTGTGTGTTGTAGAATGTGAAGACTGCCAGTTACTGAAGGGTAGTGCTTGGTAAATAAACCTGAATCTGTTTTTAATGTGTTAAAAGCCTTCTGTATTTCATATGTACTRTAAGCTAAATAAAAGTGAAAATATWTCAGAGGACCTTAKAAATGGCCACCATGCTGCTCTGTTAGAACAGGAGGAAATGTTTTCTATGTCCTATTTGTCACATTTATGGTGGTAATGTGGATGTGTGGTAAAATGTTTTAAGTTTCAAGGAGGAAAAAAACCTGACGGCTGCAAATCAATGTGAGAGTTCCCCCTGCTGTCCTGCAAGATCAGCTGCTGGAAGCTGTGGGATACTGTGAGGCTGGAAGTAATACTGCACTGCTGCTTTTGGAGCTTTTTGTCGTCCTTTTTTCGTGTTTGTTCCAAGAGCCAGCACTCAGGCCACCTTCTTAAAACCCAAAAAGGAGAAAATAAAGCATTGTTTGAGTTGTAGGGCCTCTTTTTTTATTGCAGTACAAACAGTTTATGGTGAGTTGTACTCTGTTTTTAATTCTTTCTTCCAAATGAATAATGAATTTTTAAAATCTGTTTCAGCAATGCAATCAACCTCTTAAGCAATGTTCCTGTTTCTTGCTTGGATGTTCTTATTAATCCATCGTCCCAGGAGGAAACAGATATAAAATACAATGGTATGAATATGGGAGCTATTCAGATTTTACTGGATTTCATGGAGAAGAGAATAGACAAGGTATGGGCTGCAGGGATTTTTCACAAAAGGAGCCTCTTTCACTGAAAGCAAAAAGTGCACGTGTCAAGCTTCATATAAGTCTTTTAACCAGTACTTAGCACAACTATGTCCTTATAGATTGTGAAACACYTCAAAATAAAGAACAAATTCTTCTSAATATCTGAAGCTACTTGCTTGTKTGTGTCTGAGGACGAACATTTGGCTCTTTGTTTATATAAAGTTCATATTTTGGCTGTCATATAGAACTTTAGTTCATAGAATTTGAAAAGCAACATTTGCTCTTAAAATGTTTTATTAGYATTTGGTTTTATTTTAGGGAAGCAGCTATAGAGAAGGTCTGACTCCAGTTCTCAGTTTATTAACTGAATGCTGCCGAACTCACAGGAATATCAGGAAGTTTATCAAAGCTCAGGTAAGTAAAATATTCATCAAAATTTAAATGTGAAGCTAATGATAAACTTCAAGGTTTGAAGTAATTTTTCAGTCATGTAAATCGATATATATTCTGAGTTCTCATGATACATTTTGTAGAGCTGTTAAATAATAACATCAGGRATATTGTAAAGCTGTGTCAATGAAACAGGTAAAAAACTCAGTAAGATTAGTTCCCTGACACCCAACATAGAAAAAACATTTCAGTGCAGTTAATTCAACTTTGCAGGGCTGTGTGGTGGCCTGTGAGAATAGAAGTGTTCTGATGGGTTCTGCTTGAGGTTTAGTTTTACCTCAGCAGGAAGGAGTTGGAATTAGTCCTGTCAGAGTAAAAGTGTCCCTGGACAGAGAAACACTTCATCACTTGGTCTCTTAAGAGAGCTGCTTGTTAGAGTGTGGACTGTGGGTAGGCTTTTTACAGGGAAAAMGATTTCTGTACCATGGTTAAAGATCTGAAGGATCTGTGTAGCTTGAGTGTGGTGTTTTCTGCTTGTTCTGCTGCTTTTCCTGAGGTTAAGTGGAGAGAAGTTAAAAGATGAGCAAGAGAAAGAAATTGCTCATCTGAATTCTGTCTTTCTTCTAAACTGCAGTGACTTTCGAGTTGCATCCTAGAGGCTGCTCCCAGTTCAAAGCTGTTCCTGATTTCATAAATGGAGTATAAAATTAAAAAGAGCATATATTTTCTGCCTCTTTTGTCTATACTAGAAATGTGGGTTTGAGGAACTTAAGAAACTAGTTGTTTGGTTTTGTTCATAGCAATTCATTTTTAGGATACTTTGCTGATTTGTTAACTAAAAAAGAAAATAAGTTGCAGAGCCAAGCGTTCAGAAGCTAGAAAATGAAGTTGTCTGCATGTTTTTACAACATCTTGGCATCTCAATGTCAAAATATAATTGCATGCTGACTCCTACCACAGGACCACTGCCTCTTATAGTGCAGAGAATGGATGGATGTTGCTAACTGCATGGCTGGATGTTTGATATTTTGAATTACCCTCATTGTTAAGTGCTGGCCTTAGGCTTTATTTCTTGTGTGCTATTCGAATTGTGATCTGAAGACAGGATGATTGATTTCCTCATGGAATATCCTATGGCACTCATCACTGTATTAGTATTAGAGTACTCTGAAAACATKAATTCATTCTTACAAAACACTGGGAAATAGCAGTCATGGTACCATCCCCCTTGGGGGGAGTAAGCAGGGACAAAGTAAAATGGTTTTGCTAATTGTTCAAATACTTTGTTTGAAAGAGACGGGGTCTGTTTTATCCAAAGCAGTCAGCAGTGCAGCATCATGTAAGGATCAGTTCCCAGTGAGTCCAATTTCAGTAGTAATTGTGCTGTAATTTTGTACAGGACATGACTCTTTACATTAGACACCAAAAAGACAAAGAATCTGCAATTTCTTATGACCACTAGCAACATACTAGATTTTATTCCCTAGTAAATATTGAAGATCCATAATTCTTATTTGAGTCTTCAGATCATTAACTATTTCATAATATTGCCCACATTTGTTTGCAGATCATAATATATCCTGTGGATGTGAAAAAATGTACATAGATTTTGAGTCTGAAGGCATCCACACAAGGATGCAGAAGTTAGTTTGCCAAAAAAAACATCATTCATGCACCTCCTGCCTTTCTTGAGGGTTGAAGTTAACAATATTAATGACCTATAATGAGAATATACTGTGTTTGAGGAAAGGTTAAATAGTGATTTCTCAAAAAATATTTCTGAAATATAGCTTGAGCTTTTAAAAGTTTTTTTTTCTGGTTGAAGTTTGCATTTCCTCTATATGTAAATCCCATTTTTTAAAATTAAGTAATAGAAACTTGTAGAACTTGCAATGTACTTATTTTCCTGCTTTTTCATTATAAGCATATCATTGTTCTTTATAAACTACACAGCATTTTAATAGTGTAAGTTTCCTTAAGCTGGCATTTCTAACACTTTTACCAGATATGTGAGCAAAACAGAAGGAACAGAGAACATGAGGTTATGGCTGCCTGTTCACCAACTCTTCTGGGACACCCATTTGTGCTCAGAAACTCTTGATAACTGTATTTTTWAAGTCTACATTTGAGACTGAGTATTTTTCTGCCCAGAATGACAGACCAGAAAACTTAAATATATTAAGCAAGAGTCTCTACTAATGCATGTAAGAATAGTTGTCTGATTTTATTGGCTTTTTTTTTTTTTTTGAAGGGCCGAGTATTTTTTTGTTCTGTTGATGACATTTGTTTTTGCAAGTATTGGATAGATATTTCTTTTCATTTTTATGCTGCTCTTCCCTTTCTTTTGTACTCTAGGTACTACCTCCATTAAGAGATGTGTCCAACCGTCCTGAAGTTGGCACAACYGTGAGGAACAAACTCGTGCGCCTTATGACACACGTTGACCTTGGAGTAAAGCAAATTGCAGCAGAATTTCTCTTTGTTCTTTGTAAAGAGAGAGGTAAAAACCACTTTTTCTTCTACCCTTTGTATAAGGTCTTGCTGTAATGACTGTGTTTGCCTCTTGCTGTTACTCTGAATTCTTGTGGCATTGTGGTTTATTCTGRGGTTTGTTTTGGAGCTGATTACAGCTGAATAATTTTCTGTGTCCTCCCTGCAGTTGATAGCTTGTTGAAATACACAGGCTATGGYAATGCAGCAGGATTGCTGGCAGCRAGGGGCCTGCTAGCAGGAGGAAGAGGAGATCATTGGTACTCAGATGATGAAGATACAGACACAGAAGAATACAAATCTGCAAAGCCAAAGTATAGTATTGTTTTCAATTCCACATACTCTGTTGCATTTTGGATTCTTTTGACATAATTTTTTTTTAGTTTTTACCTTTTTGCCTTTTTCAGAGAGGCCAGTTTTGGAATTTTATGTGTTTTTATTAACTCCTGTCTTCTGCTGATTTCATGGTCTAATTTTTGAGAAACCAGCCTAAAATAGTGACCATCATGTGGTCAGATACGGTTGCAGAGGGTAAAAAAATCACTATGAAAATGATTTAATATCAGTCTGAGTTACTACTTAAAATTCAAGTGTGGAAAGGGATTGTAAGAATATTATTTTAAAAATATAGTAACAAATTAACCAAGATGAATTTTGTCTCAGATTTGTGAGGAACTCACATAAAATTGCCAAGCTGCCAACATTGTTTGTGGGGTATATCTCTGTAATGGAGAAAGTAATGGTGTTCACATATGGCTAAAGTTTTTAACCAGAACTTTGTTAAAAAGGAGCAAGCCAGGAGGTCCAGTTCCAGTTTTGATCTGGTTTCAGATTGCCTGGCAGTAAAACTTTCCTGAAGAGTCAAGTAGGTGACATATGTAAATATGGAAGGAGCAAAATAACTTCTGTACAAGTCACATATCAGGAATCCAGTATACTTGTCTGAAGGATTYAGTGACCACTTAGGAGCTCTGTTGATCTTCATTAATTGTAATTGATTGATTGATAGAGGTTTCAGTTTGTCACATGTAAGATGTTTGGTACATTAAGACTTGATGCCATTTTAAGGATRTTGTGAAATTGTTGGCAATGGAGATCTGAAGTGTCACTTCCTTTTTTTTCTGTTTTACTTTGTTTTCCTTGAAATACCCGGACCTGGTTAGGTACAGTGTGGTTTATTGAAAGATTCTTATTAAGGTACATGAATAGAGGATAGGATTAAGTGKATGAGAATTAGAGGAATTACATTGCTTCTATGCTAAGAAATTTACTCTGAACCAAGAGGTTTCTTCTTATTTCTGCACTTCAGGATTTTTCTTGCTTATATCCTCTGCTATTCTTTCAAAAGCCTGACATCCAGTTCTATGCATRTAAGTAAAAATATAACATATATTTAGTTAAAAGCTGACACTTAAATGAAACATTCAAGACAATTCTCAGTTGATTTATGCATCTGATTTCCTGTATTGCTGTTAAATGTTTGTGATTAAAATATTTGAAAGGATAATGTGTCCTGWAGGTTTTCTTTAAAACCTTCTCTATCACTGTTCACTTGTATTAACAGTGAAAATTAAACTGGCTTTATAAATTCTGAAAGTAAAGTAACATAATCTGATTGGAGCAAAAAAYCATCATCATAGAAGGGTGATAGGTAACTAATTTAGCAGAAAATTGACTGGAATTGAATAAGTTTCCAACATATCTGTCATTCAGTGCCCTATTTATGTCATTAGTGCTAATGACATTATCATTGTTACCATCATTATTCCCCTGGTTTCAAACTATACCTTGATGAGTTCCAATGTGCATTTCTGAGTGCTGACAAGACATTAATACAGGGAATCAACAAGAAGATAGTCACGATTCCTGAGGAAATATGGTATAAATATGAACCTTGGCTATTTATAACAAAAACTTTCACCTGCAGTTCAGACAGTTTTAGTCTTGATGGTTTCTGTTAGTTCTTCCTCTTTCCTGCRATTAAGAAGATAGAAAATGTACCTGTTCCTGCAGAAATGTAAACTGTGTTGTTTTTTCACCTCCAGCATTAACCTCATCACTGGCCACTTAGAAGAACCAATGCCCAATCCAATGGATGAAATGACAGAGGAACAAAAGGAATATGAAGCTATGAAGCTTGTCAACATGTTTGATAAACTTTCCAGGTATTGTACTRTAGCTGTTTTTGAGAGGTAGCTTGTAAACTGGTTCTTTACTRAGGTCTAGTACTTCAAAACTGTGCTAGAATCAACTTCTTTGTAGGATTAGGGCCACTSTAAAAGCAGAGAAAAATGCTTGGCCCTTCAAAGAAAATGGTGATATGTTGCAGGACTTAAGAGGAAACCTCTTTCAGAGAGGAGTGGACAGAATTGGGAAGATCTGGTGGCAAGGGAACCTGCCTCTTGAATAGACAGGCTGATGGTAATAAACATAATAATATTTTCCCCAAGTTAATGAGCAGCATCTCATTGTAACTACTTATGTCTGCTGCTTATATGAAGAACAAATACAGTGTGAAAATAGTTGTCAGAAACAATAAATTGTATAATGGAGCAATTAAAAGGGAATTTACAGTTAAGACTTACTGTGCATTTATTAGGTGAAGTGTGGACTGGATTACTAATCAGCCTTTGTAATTCGTTTTATGTGATTAAGGTAATTCTATGAAAGAAATGGGTACTAAGTGTGACAAAATGGTGTTACAGTGTTTGATCCAGAGAGCTGATCTTTAGTTTATATCTTTCTGTGTGCGAAAGCAAATAGACCTGTGCTATTTTCTGTAGCTTTTTTTTTCTCTTTGGCTTAATATGTCTAGAATTTACTGTTTTTTTCTTTCCCCCTACTTCTAGCCATACTGGAGTGATTGCTTGTAGGTTTTTTTTTAATTCATAAGCACAGTTACATTCCCGAGAAACAGTTATGTAATATTAATTTGCYATTGAACTGAGCTGTAGGAGGTAAATACATCAGTGCATCCATTCTTCAAACATGGCAAAACTCAGCAGCTAGAAATCTGCTTGTTTTGTGACAGTCTGTAGATAGTCAAATAACAAGATCTATTGAGAGAAATGCWGCAAAATTAGTATCTTTTAAATCTCTGTTAAAGATTAGGAATACAGCAAAAGATACAGGAGAATCTGGATTTTACATTAGTTCTCAGAAAACTGAATTACAAGCAGGATTGAAATCAGGGAAGGAACTTAAAACAACTGATCTGAGAGTTGTTAAGTGATTGGATTTTTTTCACATTATTTGCATGGAAAGCAAGTGTAGTATGTCATAGTCATCTTAGTAAAGAGAAGAAAATGCAATTCACATGTAATCTTAATTGAACTACTTTGTCAAAATGGAATCATTCCTGTGTAAGCTTGAGAAGTCAGATGCTGAGCACCAAGTGTGCCGCAGTAAAACGCCTAAATGGTCTAAAACATTTTTTGAAAGAAAGATTGAGACTTCAGCTAAGCTAAGACTGAAGTCAGTTGCTGTCACTGCAGCATTACACAAAAACTCCCAATGGTTAATTTGGCACAAGAGCCCTTTCAGTGTGGAGGGTGGGAGGCACCTGCTGCAGTGCTGACAATAACTGAGCAGCTGCTGCCCTGTGTCCCCACTTATTCCTGTCACCTTGGCCTCTCTGTGCCCATTCCATCCACCTGCAGTTGCTTCTGGAGCATTTAAACTCCCCCACAAAGAGTGGCAGCCCTGGAGCAGTTTTTGTTTGTTTAGTATGGTAGCTGCTGTGGGACAGTATTGTTGATGTGATCCCTTTAGGTGCAGTGATAACATGAATAAAATCATTTCACTGTTCTTCCCACACTTCCTGTTTTACTAAAAATCAGGGAGGAAGGAGATGCTGGCAGGAAGAAAAAAAGAAAGATTTGCATTGGGGAGGCTGTGGGATGTTTTAAATGAATGTAATTGAGTGCAATTGTGGGCCTTGCAGATGATAAAAAAATAGGAAGCTGCGAGTCTTGTGACACACTGGTAATATTGGGAGTCCCTCTCTGGTTTTGGAATACAGCACTGATGCTGCCTCCAGCTTRAGCACTTCAGTGCTGGGAGTTTGCAGTTTACATCTCCATGGAAAGCATCTCTTAGCCTTGTTTTGCACCCTGCAGATGCAGAGCAGAGGCTGCTTGGTTGGAGTTTTCAGTTGATTCTGGGGTTTAGATCTTGCTTTGAGGCAGAGTGCTCCTGGCAGGTTTCTTCTTMTGCTGCTCTCTGTTGCCACCACAGGAGGGGAAATGTGCCATGAGCAGGTTCAGTTTGATGCAGGGCAGGAAGCTGGACAGGAACAAACAGCTTCTTCTCATCTTGAACAAGTTTATGTAACTCTGTGTAACCTGATCAGGAGCTCTGAGTAAACTTGGGTGATGTGCAGCCAAACAGGTTTGCTTACTTCACTGCTATTGTGGAAGCTTTAACGAGCTACCACACTATTCCACACTTTTCCAAAAGTGTGGAAAAAAATGTTGAAGGACTGACAAACTTGCTTCCCTSGCTAACTGATGAGGATAATCAGGCCAGTCTGTCACTGGGGTGCTCCAGATTTGGCTTTGGCTGAGTCAAGAACTCAGAAAACAAATCAGAACTCCGAAAACGAATGTGCAAAGCAGTGCTGCTTCATTGGGAAGTTACAGCCTTCATTAATGGCTGATGGGTGTTTACACTACACTCTTTGTAAAGGTTTACTGAAGCTCTAAGTACAAATTACATATTTTCCCTTGTCCCATGTGCCAGTGGATTTTTGCTTTTTAGGCTTCTCTTTCATTTTCACTGAAAAATAAAAAATKTTTAGGGTGATGAAAAACTGATTGATGCTTTTGGTCATTTCAGGTCATACATAGCTTACCATACATAACCATACAAAGCTTTTCTGTTCTGTTAGGTTGTTGRTGTTTGGGCCTGTTCATGGCATAATTGGCCATCAACAAGGCTAAATTAAAATTAATCACCCAGTTTCKATTTCTCAAAATACTTGTAGGAAACCTGAATGTTATTGTGAACCCATTTCCCCCGCCCCAGTATTTTACTATATTTTGGGTTCTACAAAAGCTTTTATAGAAATTAGTATTTTGTTCAAATTCGGCTGGGTGAKATGACTTTTTTAAAGCATTAAATATATACCAATTCTAAGTATAAATGAACATGAAAAATCTTGATTACTGCATTTCTTGGGAGAGATATATATATTACTTAGGCTGATGCTGGATCCCTGAACTTGGCCCTGATGTAAATGTGGGTTTTGTCAGCAGCATCTTGTTCATTCTTTAAGATTTGTTTGGTGACTGTAAAGCCGTGTCCTCTGCACATGATGCACATATTTGTGCTTGGAAAAACTCCCCAGAGCTGCAAGATTTAACTCAGCCTTCCATTTATTTGCAAAACATCCAGTTAGCCACCTTAAGTCAGTGTCCTGTGATATTCTGTCTAGATAATAGATTATTGGAGATATTCCGTGTTAATTAAAATGTCTGGAAAAAAATGCTAACATTTTTGCTATTATAAATGGCAGGTAGAATTGTATATTAATTGACTGATTTAATATGTCAGGATGCTTTTTCCAAGCCAACCTTGTATTAATAGCAAGAATCCTTTTGCTGATAAAATGGTCTCCAATTATCACAGCTTGGGTTTTGTTGYACATTGAACAGAAGTCAACAAAACGAGTAAGAGAACGTGTCTAAATAAGGTACCACACTCATTAAAAACACAAAATTAATCATAGGATCAATGAAGAAGGCAATGCTACATCGAGTTTGTTTTTTTCTTCCCCTTTCTAATCATAGAACAAAATAATGTTGCCTGAAAGGATGGGAACTATTATGTAGCACTCAATTATGAGGAGGTGAATAGGTCCCCAACACGCTGTTTTATCAAAGGGGCAGACTGGTGTTTACATGATGGCTGTTTGATTACAGACACCATCATTAATTCTGTGTGGCAGAGCTGCCCTGCAGCACAGGGAGCAGGCAAGAGAGAGGCACCCTTCAAAACAATGATTTTTGAGTCGTTATCAAGCTAAATGGCAAGCAGGAAGGCAGGACTTGTATAAATACATTGGAAGGGACTCTTGGGAGATGTGGAAGTGGAAGAAGAGAATGCATTTTACCAACTCTTTAATGATGGTGTGTTTCTAAGTACACTTGAATAGAATGYTTTGTTGGCATTAGAAGAATGAGGGTTGCAAGGTGTATTGGTCACAGTGAAGGTCACATGAGGATGTTCAGACATGTATAAATACCTACGAGCACACAATATGTGTATTTTCATGGATACTGAAGAGTTCCCACTGCCATCTACTGGGCTGAGGCCTGCCATGTTCTACCCTATGGATGACAAATGTCCAGTTTTGGACAGTGAAATGTTTTCTGAGGCTCTGTCTGTTCATTCCTGGCCCTTCCCTTCCCATCTTGTCTCTCCCTGTGGACAGTGAGTGTAACCTCAGGTAGCTCAGGGTGCCAAAGAACTGTTGAGGTCTCTGAGCAGCCAGAGCTAAATGGGCAAATTGCTGAGACCCTTCCTGATAGGGTGGGACTGAACTTAAGCTGAGTGGTGCCTCTGGCATTCCTACCCAAACTATTGTTATTTAGCAGAAAGTTGTTCTGATCTTAGGAAGCTGATTTTGTGGGCAGCCCAGACCTTTTCATCAGTTTGTCTCCCTCTGTCTTTTTCCTCTTGAAAACCAGGAATGAGCTCATGGGGGGTTCAGAACTTGCAGCCAACTCTTCACTGGTGAAAGGATGCCACGGTTAACACTGTTTTAGGACTGGGTTGTGGTTAGAAACAAAATATGCTGATGCCTGCTTCTCCTCCTTCTTCCTTGGATGGCTTAGCATATTTCTGTGTTCATACAGTTCAGTGGGTGGCACTTGCCTAAGGAAGGATGTGTAGAATTCCCTCCTGACAGAGAGAACAGCAAACCCCTAACATGCATCTTCCATCCTGCTCAGGGACTTGCAAAGCAGGAAGCTGATGCAGGAACACAAAGGTGTTTGATCCTTGTTGTTCTGTGCAAGGTGAGCTCAGCCTGGTTCCTATCATTAAATCCTAAAGCTAAACCAGGATGTGAGAGTGAGGCTGGAAAAGGGAAGAAAAACACCTTTGCTTTTATAATTGACAGACTTCTTGACAATATTTAAAAACCTAAGTATTGTTGTGAGGAGAGGGAGGTCCCCACATAAGGGACCTGGGGCCTTGTTTTCCTGTGTTTCCTTTTTCATGAATGAATTCTTTATCTTTCATTAACCATTATAGTTTATTTATTACCAGTAATAAATGGTAAATTACTAGAAAATTATGTGATTTCTTGGCTCCAATATTAAATGTTTGCAATTTAAACAGTATGCTTTGGGATTTTTAAAACAAAAATGTAGGATCCTTTTAGCTTAATGGRCAAGCAATGGTGATTTTGTTCTTCGTGGCTACATTTTTGCATTTTAGAGGATGCTTGTTTTGTCTGATGTTTAAAGTTTGAAAGCCAAAAAGACTTTGGATGTAGAGKTTTTTTTTAAGTCTTTGCTATTAGACACAACTCCAAAGCACTCCAACTTTGCCTTTGGGGGACCCAAAGCAGTCAGGGTTCTTGGTCCTCTTTAAACACCAGATTTGCAGTCTTTGTGTTCTGAGCYCTTTCAATTCTGACTTCAGGTATTCTTTTCATCTCTTTTCCCCACATCTTCAGCAGATTCTCCAGGAGTGCTGTCACTTGGGCAAAATCTTCACATTACAATTGCATTGCCAGAAGGGAGAGGACTCAGTGGCAGTCCTTAAGGAATGGCAAGCTCTCTCCAGTCTGTTAAAAGATAAATCCTGCTCTTCCTCACACACTGAGGGAGGGCCTGGCCYGTGCTCTTTGCTCTGGTCTTTCAAACGCCCTTCCCTGGCCTGCAGCTTCCCACCAGAGCTGCTCAGCCAAACCACAGCAGTTTTTCCAGGTCCGGTGTCTCCTGTGACCTCTGTGAGTTTCTCACTGTGGTGTCCCATTGCCACATCTGCACAAACAGCTGCATTTATCTTGCTGCTTTCTCTGAGCCTTGATTGAACTGCTTCATCACTGTACAATGCCCAGCATGTGCACTGCACATGACTCAGGTGCTGCTTTTTCTGCTGTTCCAAGGTTGGAGTGGAGCTGTGTACAGGAATTGCTGTCCCTTTTTCCATCCAAGGCCGAGGGTGCTGAGATGCCTTTGCTTCCCCACTGAGTGATGCAGTTTTATTGTCTGTGGCTAGGGAGAGTAGTAGATGTGTGCTAAATTGACAGTTTTACTGGGCTGCCTTTCAAGCAAGGGGTAAATTAACATCAAACCTCTGCTCCTTTATTTAAGGTGACTCCTGAATATTTAGAGGTATTTCCCCCCCCCTTTTTTTTTAGCATAAAATCAAAATGTTATCTTTGCCCTTACAGCTTTTGCCATAATCCACATATAAATGAGGTGATAAAAAAGTACGGATTAAATAAATCTTTGCTAATACTTTTTGATTTGCTTAATCAATAATTAATCATCTCTTAGACAAGGCTGTGGCTTGTGGAGTAGATATAATTGGATTAACTGCTGAGCRGCCTTTGGAGCTTTGAAGAGATTAAAATGGCTGTAAATCCTGTAATTAAACTGCCACAAACAAAAGCAATAGTATTAGAATCAGTCAGCTTTTTTCTAAATGAATCAGCAAGTCCTTAACACAGCCCTAGCAGTGGTGTAGGCAGAGTCTGTTCTCTTCACTGATTTATTTCCTTCTACAAGATGAATATGTATCAAAGGATTGTTTTGATTGCTTGGGTATATAGTTGCCAGAATGGCAGGTGAAATTTTAGGAAGAACTGGCTGTCAGAGAACTCCTAGAAGAAAAGCTAGTTTGTGTGTCCAAAACAGTGAACCTGCTCCTTGTCTTGAGCCTATTAGGCACTGACTTTTCATGGTGTCTTTAATTGGCTAAGTAGGTTTGGCCCACATGAATGAAGTCTTTATCTGTCCTGCTCTTCCCCTCCCACCTATTTGGGAAGGTTTTTTTTTGTGCCTTTTTCTTCAAAACAGAGGGCTTTAGCAGGAATAACTTCCTTTTAGAGGCTCATTATGTAGCGAGGCATATACTGTATGTGCCTGTATTATACACGTGTGAATTGATGTGTGCACATGCTAATATGGATTCTCTTTTCCCAATGTCTCACAGAGATGAGCTCATAAAGCCCATGGGAGTGCGGCCCGACGGGACAATGGCTCCTTTGGAGGAAGCAGTCAGCCAGTACCAGACCAACAAGCAAGAGAGCTCGGATTCAGACTAAGGCATCACCTGCTTCACTCTCAATYCTCTAATCCACACTTCTCCTTAGAGCCACATCTTTTATGCTCACATTAGCCAGCGTCATTTTAACTGTTCTATTATTGGCATATTTAAACGATGGGTCCTGTGCTGTAATGTCTGAGTTTTTATTATGTCTGTTTAGAGAACATATCAGTTTATTCATTTATGATCTTTATTAATTTAAAATTAAATGTATTTCGAAGGGATAACAAGCAAAAGCCTACAATGTAAAATAAAGTCCACTTTCATTTTCCAGAATCCTCTTTTCTGAACTCTGTAGGTTTTCCCATTCTTGAAAATCTTTTGTATTGTCTTGCCAGTCTTCCTCTTTATATAATTATTAGTATTAATGAAGCGTGTTTACTTAATGGCATYAGGAGCAGAGGGTGTTTAAAGTTAGGAGTCTGACTTTGTGAGGCTGCTTTAGCAGGCACTGAGCAGTGATTTCAAAGCTCCCCCTTTTTAAGTGCCATGGGGTTTCTCACTGCTACAAACTTCTCCAGTTAAGCTGCTGCTTAAGATTTTAACAATGTGTCAGCATCCCTAAAATTGCCTTGAACTGGGAACAAGATGATGTATGTTGTATGTCTTCCCTCCCTCYCTCCCTCCTTGGCTAAGACCACACGAATATACCCCCTCCTCCCCTCTTTGGGTAAGTAAAAACATCCCTATTGAAAATGCTGTTCAAGTATTGCACTGAAATGTTGCCCCAAATGGGAGGGGATGGGAATGCATGTGCCTGTGGTTCACTGAATTGGGGCCTGCTTTTGGAGATTAACTGCTATGCCTCACTTGAAGACAAGGCAAACTAATCTACAAACAAATATTTCCTGTTAGAGAGAACATAGGAARCAATGGGACAGAGAACGGGAAGGTGGAAAGGAGCAAAAAGTGTCACTTTCAATTCTGTACTCTTTAAAAAAAAAAAGATTAAAGTTTTAGGCGTGCTGCACTGCTGTTGTTGCCTCTTTGCCTGCTTGGTTTGTTTCTGTGTGTTTCTCCCAGCATGAATTACATGCAGAATAATCCATGCCCCAGTTTCTGATTTCCCTGTCTTGTGCAGAAGCTTACCCATACCATTCACTGGGAATGAATTCACCTTTCAGAGGTTGGTGATGGCTCTCCAGTTTGTTTCCTGGTTCTCTGAACTAAAAAAGTTGGTGTTCAAAGACCCTCTGAAGCAGGGATTTGGTATGAAACTGCTGTGGTTGCTCATGTGAGGAGCTTCTACAGATGATTTTAGTCTTTCAAAAGAGCTGAAAAGAAAAAAATACTGCACTGCTGTCCTCGCAGCAGTAAAGTTTGTGACTGCAAAGTACACTGCCCAGCCGTAGCAATGATRTTCCTGTCCAAGAGCAAGAAACGTKCTTGGCTGCATCTAAGCTGGGTTTCAAAAATGTAATTCTGGGTTTAGCCAGAATTATCATCCACTGCCTCCTCTGTGCCCCTCACAGGCGGGCATTAAGTGCTACAAAGAATTTGTGATCCCTCCCTGAGGTGCAAAACTTCCCTGGCTCTGTCAGCGAGGACCTGTCTTGGTGTCAGCTGGGGCTGTTTCTTGGGAATTGTTTCAGTCAGGACCTTCTATAGAGCATTAAGTACAGAGCACAAAAAAGAGCAAAATGTCAGTTGTTGTTTTACAAGCTGTAGATTATTCTCTTACAATTAGCTGGTTCCAGAGATTAATGAAACAATAATGGCTCCAGGGACCTTGTTAGAAGCAGGGTAGCACGAGGCTCTCATGCTCTACTCCTGGCATTTGCCACAGGGCAGCAACATTTGCAATAAATAGTTCTGTTAGTTTATCTTGGCAAACAGATGCTTGCAGAAGGTTCTACAGACACGAGATGCTTTTTCAATTAAAAAGGAAAATAGTGAAAAAACAAGCCTAGGAGGTTCTTCCTGAGTCCTGCAGCTCAAGAGTGGCTGGCATAACTGGGTTGCTGTAGTGCAGGTGAATGGAGTTGAATGAATAACTTGTACAGTGCAGTGCCCCAGAGCAGCTCTTCTCCCAAGGTGATGGTTTTGGAAAAGCTGCTGCAGGCTTTTTGGCTTCTCTTTGCAGTGTAAGGTAGGTCCAAGCTTAGCTGCACTGGGCTGGAGGGTTGGGAATATCTTGGGACAAAGGTCCTTCAAATCAGCAGTGCTTCTGCTTCCTTCTGTGCTGGCTGGTGTTTTCAGAGTAACGGTGGGAGGATTTCTCTTGGATGAAAAGAGGTTTGGGTGGTTAAAAAAAAGGAGCTCCCTGGCATTTTTGTGTAAGCTGTTCTGTATTATATATCAATATTGAATTATATAAATGTATACTTTTCTCTCCAAAACTCAAGAATACTGTAATCAGGAAAAAAAAAMCTCCTGARTGAAGTGWCAGATTTTCTAGTGGTAACTGTAAAAGTGTTAGCTAGGGGATTTTGGRGACATAGACCTTTCATTCCCAAAAAGCTTTTCACAGTCCCAAAAACTTAACGTTTCAGTCTTTACCTTGGCATCAAACAGTCCAACGCAGTTCTCATTAAAGCTCATCAGTGATTTGGAAGCTTTGCTTCTCTTTGTTTCCCATTAGAGTTACGAAACAAAAGATGATGGGAAAATGCTGAAATTTGTCAGAATAATTCRTTCTTTTGCAAGATAATACAGACATATTTGTTTAAATGTTCATGAAAACTTTCTGGCAGGTATTCCCAAATACTAATTGATATTTCATGTGCCCCAAAAGTGGTTTTCAAGAAAAAGGGTTGTTTACAATCTGTTAAAAATGTTGTGAGAAAATTACCAGAACTTTAAAGAAAGTTGCCAAAGAGGAAAACCACATTACCTTTGATGTTTTGAATGTACAACATTGCTGTATGTATGTCTGACAAAAGCTGATTTTTTTATCCTGTATCTTGAGTGTTTCCAAGTACCTGAAAATCTGCAAAGGCTTAAAAAAATAGTAAACAGAACAACCAGGCAACAGCATATTTATCTTACAGTCCTTCAAATTGTAACTTTCCCCTACCTGGGGCAAAAATCAGTTGTCAGAAGTGGCTTTAAGGAAAAGACCATTACAATGAAGCTGTAGCCTTAGTGGGTTGCCAGGCACCCTGGTCTGAAAAAGGAAAGTAAACCCCAAAGCATATAAGATCCCAAATCTCCTGAAGGAGCATTCCACAACATTGTACTTCACCTTATTACCACGAAGCAGCTAATAAAATCCYGTGCTTTAATAAGGCTGGCTGTAAAAAGACTCTTCCCCTGTTCAAACAGTTGAAAGCCAGACTTTGCTGGCCTTTGAGCAGCAAGTTAAACAGCTGCCCAGGTCAGATTCTTTTCTGGTCAAGCATGGAAAAGCAGTGATTTAGTAGCAGTGCAAAGACGTGGCTCACTTTTAGACATTAAAAAAAAAAAATCCCTGTTGCATTAACATCTTAGTTACTTCCACGGGTCTAGCCCTTATGGAAAGAGTCAGGGAGCATTTCTTGTTCTCTGTGCAAAAGTTTTTGCTTATGCTGAAGTCAATTCTGTCCAAAATACTCTGGTGATGCAATATTTAGACCAGGAATTTTGGGAGGAATTGATGTCCTTCGAGCTTTCCTGGGTATCCTCCAGCTGGCTGTGCCTGGGAAGCAGCTCCCTCAGCACTGCAGGAAGAGCAGGCACAGGAGCCTGGGAAGGTGTGCCAGGTGAAGTTTAGGTTAGATGTCAGAAAAAATTCTTYACTGGAAGAATGATTGGTCAGTGGAATCATCTGCCCAGGGAGAGGATGGAGTCACCATCCCTGGATGTGTTTAAAAAGAGACTGGACGTGGTTCTCAATGCCGTGGTTTGGTCAGTGAGGAGGTGTCAGGTCACAGGTTGGACCTGATGATCTCAAAGGTCTTTTCCAACCTATTTTATTCTATGATTCTGTRCTGGAACTCCTTCCTGAGCTGTGGGGCCAGCCCGGGCTGACCTGGGCTGGGGAGCAGAGCCCTGCTGGGCAGAGAAGGGGCCTGGGAA